CCAAGAAAGAACTATCGAAATCCCAGCCTGCGTCGCCCCCAAACATGCCGAACACAGAAGGTTCATGCTGGGAATGCCCAGTGCCAACAAAAGGGCCCAGTGCGGAAGGTTCTGGCAGAGGGCATCGCAGGCGCTTGGGACATCTTTGGGGCCCGGTTTAAGACTCAAGCTGAGCTGCGCCCTTAGAGTACCATACCAGCACCTCCAACAGGTCTCCTCTGGTGGCTTTTGGAGACTTATAAGTCGCAGGTGGTAACCTGTTGGAGGGTCCTGGTAGAATACTCATCGATCAATCATGGTGGCAAACTACAGGATAACTTACTTGGATCGTCCTCCCACGTTAAAAATAGACTGCTAAGAAAACTGGTCAAGTCCTTGCACAATTAGGCTTGCCCACTCCAAACTTCCAATGTCATTTCACCAAATCATTCTGACATGCAGCTTGGTCCAAAACACTCTCCATCCTCCAAGATCTTTCTTTTCCACCATGTCCCATTGTCTCTTCGGCTTCACCATGTTTCACCTCCTCCTTTGCACCCTACACAGTCAAAGTTTTCTTCGGACACTAAAAGGTGATCTTCGGAAACTTTACGCTTTTCTTCAGAAACTAACGCCGAAGAGTCGAAGAGCAACAAAGTTTGCAAAATACGCCTGTATAATATACCGTAGCTGCCGTAGCTGTCACAAGGTCAATCGCCCAGCCACCCAGCCAGCGCTCCTTCATGCAATTTGGTTACAATATTGTACAGGTTCTGAAGAATACTTTCTAAAGCATGCACATAAGTTTCCGAAGATCGCGAAATGGTTTCTGAAGATCGCGAACCAGTTTCTGAAGAATAGTTTCTGAGGAGTAGTTGCGGAAGAAAGGCTTTCAAACAGGAGACTTGTGGAAATAGGACCTTTGTTCCACCCTACACACCGCCCCAGTCGACCAGTACCGCACCAGTACCACCTGTCCCCCCGCGAACGTCCGCCTCTTCCGCCTGTTGCGCGGCCTCGGTCAGGCGCAGGAGCAGCACCCGGCGGTCGGTGCACAGCACCACGACGCCTGCGAGGCGGCCCGGTGCCGCGGCGCCCAAGCCGGCTCCCGGTGCGAAGGGGCGGGAAGGGCGCGAGGGAGGCGCTTTGCGCATCCGACTGGAGGACCAGATGTGGGGTGGCAGCCGCAAAGGGAGGATCCCAACACGATTGTTTGGGGGGGTCGGTGCTGTCGACCTTTGCGTCCGGGGCGATCGCACGGGTCGATCGCGCGTCGCCTATCGCACAGGGTGCGAGCACCAGCGCCGCGCGGCGCAGCATGGCGGAGAGAAGCGGCGTGTGAACCGAACTCACGTGGAATATGATGATGGAAATGCCCTGTGGAGGTGAGGAAAACCTGCAGTGATGCCACATGTTCACGAAACAAGTACGATTATATACTGGAATCGTGAAACGAGTGTGGATTTGCCGTCTGCAACTTGTTGGATCAATATCGATTAGGGGGATCAAGGGCATCTGCAATGAAAGTGTTTGGGGCTCTTTATGGCATCCCTTGGTGACTGAATCCACCGACTGCTTGCACTTGTTCTGCTAGCTTCCTTTGTGGGCATGCAGGCGTCTGACCCATCAGGCCTCTGTCCTCTTTTTCGGCTAAATATGACAAAACCATATTATACAAACAATTGCTTTATGGCCTCATTATATACCCACAGGAAACCCGGTTGGGGCAGGGTTGGCTGTCTATGGCTGTCTTTTTCAATCATTCTGAGCTGACTGCTGATTTGAACCCGCAGCCCATACTCCTGTCCCTCAGACACCAACCCAGCAAAGGGCTTGCAACAAATTCAACATGTCTCTCCTGCCCCAAATGCACCCAGCAAGGGCTCCAACCAATTCAACATGTTTGACCTCGCACTGTGCATGACAGCACCTGCTGTTCCCAAATATCTAAGGCTCGCACATGTTTGCCATGTACACCGGATTCACTCGCGTCCGCGTTCGACTTCGCCGAAGGACACTTCACACTACTGCACAGTTGCCCACAGCTCATTTTACAAGTCACTCTGGGTGACATTGCACAACACTGGTCGTCAACGATCAGATCACTCTGTCACAAATTGCGTGAAGTGAACCTCTCACCACGTGAACAAATCACCGCGTCACTGCGCCACCATGTCGAAATTCACCGTGCACCACGCTACGAAATTGCGCTGCATCACATGACCAACTACCCCGAAACAGCGCCACTGGGGCACGAGCGAACCAGTTCATCCCCTTCCGAAACCGCGCAACTGAAACTCAGGTGGATAGGGCCGAAACTAGGGCCGAACATAGGCAGCTCCCTCTCCGCAAGTTCACGCCCATTTTCGCCAATGGACCGGCCAAAGGGAGAGGGGGGACGGATCAGACAGAAAAAACCTCGGACTTAGCGCTCGTGCCCGGGGCTAGACCGTCTCACTTGACGCCACAGCCATTTTTAGAGAAAAGCATTGACGCCACGGTTCGGTCTGTCTGTCTGTTCGTCCAGGATTTCCGGTGCACAGGGGTTGGCTCTCACATGCCGAAAGGGAATGAACATTCAGTAGAGGTTCAAACGATGGGGGATCTTGGAGCTCACACGAGAGACGCCTCAATGAAGCAGATTCAATCCCTTTCCACATACGTAGAGAGGAGTTTCCAAAATGTATCACATCTCAATTTGCATATACTGGCTGGCATCTTTAGTTTAAACCATCGCCGACCATCCCCCACATAAATACTAGACCACCACCCCAATGTACTCAGATTGGGTTTCACCTGTGGCTTTGCTTCTTTGGCCCGTTGGCCTGTCATGGCCTGTCCCCCCGCCCTCGCATGTGGCCTGCGGCACCGTGCTTGGAGCTCTAGTATGGACGGCCGGCCAGTGGCGGCTTGCCGAAACCGCCGAAAACCGTCCGGAAAACGCTCCACCGCGGCACGTGGCGCTGGTCGGACTAATCCTAAGAGATCCTAAGAGAGCTAAGAGCAGATTGCGACTGGGTGGCCAAGGCCACCCCCTGGGAAGTCCCAAGGCCTAGGGCCTAGAGGCAGCTGGTGTTGTAAAAGGTCGCTTCAAGCTCCATGCAGGTTGAAGAATTACAACAACTGCTTGGTGCCCAATGACATGTATAACAACAACATAAGACACGCTGGCTGCCAATGACGAGATCGGATGGTTTTCACCCGGTTTGAACGAATCCTCCAAACGATTTCCGGACACAGAGCGACCAGGCCAGGATGGTCATCAGCTCCTTGAGATGAACGAACCTTCGTTGGTTCCAAAAGGGATTCCACCGGTCCATGTCCATGTCCACATGTCCATGTCCAGAAACTGAAGTTGTGAGCCGATTCGGCATATAAACACGGAGAAGAAGTGACCGATTCCAACCCTTTTAAAGTCAAATTGCTCGTCTTGTGAAGCACCTCGCAATGATGACAACTGACCTAGGAATCCATTTGCTAGTGAAGCTTACCTTTGGACTGGTGTCCTAGGTGGAAGGGATAGCCCGATGACCTTGACTCCGGCCGTTTCGAAACCGATCAAGGTGGGCCAGGCATCCAATGCCCTCAACTACTGAGCCGCAAAGGCCGCGCAATCGCGGTCCTACTTACTACGGGGCCCGACGCTGTCCTTGGATGGCAGCCTCGTATGGGAAACACTTAGCTGCATTCCACTGCCCCAAGTGAAGTGGGTTCACCCTTAGCAAGGGGGTTCGCGCCCCACCTAGAAACACCTAGTAGGAAGAGAACATCTTCTCAATCACTATTTTAAAAAAATTGCTTGTGCATTATAATAACCAAACTCCGGTGTCCTTCTAACAAACGCGGCTGGACCTGGATATGGGCTGTCTCAGCATCAACTATCATCGCACCTGTGACCAGCACTTGAAAGAAATGGCACAGCTGTGGGGATCTGCCCCACAAATCGTGCAAGCAGCGTTGTTCCAAGTGCGGAAGTCTTTCAACCAACCGAATCATACTAAGTATGAATTCCTTTTAACTTGCAAATGTGGATGTGGACGGACCATGTAATTGCAGCAACACGAGCTAAAGTTAAACCATGAGAGATCAATCGTTGCCACTATTTCAGCCTTATTCTGCGTGATGTCACCCACAACAAGTTTTGGATATTGATAAACATGCGTGCATGCGGCACTGCAAAAGTTGCATTCAGCCCGCAGTGCACATTGGACCTACCATCTAGCAACAAACTGTGCACCGAAGGATCAAACAACATAGTATCAAGCAAATTCATCTGAGATGCATCCTTGATGCACTCCTTAGTATACAGGCACAGGTACAAACATGGAAACCGAGAGAGCCGGCTTTTGAGAAGAACAACTCTCCTCAACTGGAGGTGGTCTGCCAGTTTCTATGCTCATCTTGGCACAGTTATATATATATATATGAAGAACACATATGGACGCATCGTCTGTGCAACGTGGAACTGGTAAAGCTCCTGCTTCCAATTATAGAGGAAAGCTGAGGAAAGCAGTCTTCCCAAAAACTGTTCTCGACTTTGGCTATGGTGGTTCGTTGTTCCTTAGTTCCAGTTCCTTACGGCTTTTTGGGGGGGCAGGTAACTCCTTGAGCTCTGAAGTTCGAGACGCCAACGAGGCTCATCCAGACCTCTCACCGCTGCCGCTTGGTCCCTCCTGCGAGGAAAAGCTGGCGCCAATATGATTGGGTGTGGCACCTGGACCTCCCAGCCTCTTGAGGACCCCTGTCCCAACTCATATCTACCACGTAGAGGAGGGGCAGGACGCATTTGAGACCCACTGATTTTGCGAAGGATCGTGATCTCATGTGGTCTCTTACCTCCATTTGTCACATCAGCTGACTTTCTGTGAAGCATTCCTCCCATCTCGGTCTTCGATGTCTCGCTGAGACCACATGTCGACACGTGAGTGGTCTCGATCCTCGCCGCCGACCAACCGAAAGCCACCGCACCGTTGGTCGGCGGGCTGAAACAGTCGAAGTCACCAACCCATGAATCCCTGTTCCAACAAATCCCCCAGCCTAACACTCTGATGCTTGTGCGCTCTTTGTTTCTTCTCTTTCTGCTTGGGTGCAAATCTGGCGTTTTTAGTTTTTGGCCCGTCATCTCAGCTGGCCGGCGAAGTAAGGCGTTAGGAAGTCCTCGGAGAAATCAACAACGAAAGCGGGGCACTTGAGGGAAGCAGGTTGTTTCCTTCTGCATCCTTCTGCCAGCACGGAGAGGTTTTGCATGGTTCTGCCAACTAAAAGACAGGCTCCACCCTGGTAGGTCCAGCAGAATTCGGATCTGAAGACATGAACATCCAGAGGAAAAAAACGGTCGACACTAGTTACCGACCCGATCGAACATGGAACACACCCAATGAAATACCACATGGTACTCTGGCGTTCACGTTTGTAGCAGAAAACGCGTTTCCCCCACCATTTCCAACTTGGAGGATAGTGAGTAGTGTCAACTGACAAATCTTAATTGATTGTTCCCAAGGTCATGGAGGAGTGCCTCATCGAAAGGCTTGGCATGAACGTGTTGTGTGTCCTCTTCATTAAGTAATATATAAATCGATAGGTGCAAAAGCGCTTGCCGCGGAGACGCACCGTTTTGCGAGATTGGAGGCGCCACACTGGGGGGAACCTTCTCAACAGGTTCTTGGCATTCCTGTATGGGGCTGGGCTGGCATCCGCGAATAAAAGAACAGCAAAAGACGAATGGATCCACAGGGCCCCCGGTCGTGGTGCCAAGGGGCATAAGGGTGAAGCCAACGGTTCACCACCCACCTTGGAGAGTAGAGGGCCGCGCGGGGAGAGAGGAGAGTGAATATGTCTTTTCGACGCGTTGGTGAGGAAGGCTGCCCATGTTTGGAGTGTAAAACCTCTGCATGAGATTCCAAATCAGAAGGGTCTGACGTTGATCATTCAGACCTGGCAGAAGTAGTCCTCATCAATGAATTAAAGTGCTTCCCAATGCTTCACCCATGTGGGTAAAGCTGTAGAGGCTTACTCCGACCACGACAGGGAAGGTAATATGGTACAGTATCCGCCGAGGTGTCAGAATTCGCCAGTGTAAAACTACCACAGGGATCCACAGGGTATGTTCTGGGCATCCGGAATCGATTCCCCATGGATACCCATGGTGGAAATACATTGCCCCAGCATGCCATGCACCATGGGACCCCAGTAGTTCTCTACTCGTGGCCTGGCAGCTTCATGAGCAAGAAGGTGCGCGTATTTGTGCAGAAGGACTTGAGCCTGAAGAGGATCCAAGATACTACACATGAAGAACTCCTTATAATACTAGTAGGTTTCCCAAGTATGAAAACTATTCTGCCTTTCATCTGTTATAAATAAAGGCCAGCCAAAGGCATAAATTTTGCATAGTTGGTAAATCCATGTATAGCCTGCTCGTTTGGTCTTGGATTGTTTTGCAACCATACCTGTCGTCGTTGAAAGTCTCGTTCTGCTGGGCTCCTACGCGCTGACACCAACCACGCGAGGCAGTGCATTTATCCATAATATTTACCCCTACCTTGCATTCAATATGTGTCAAAACATGTCAAAACCTACTCCAAGACTCGTCCAAAACCCAGAAAAAAAGTGAAAACTCTTTTTCGATCTTTTCTGGGCAGGCCTATCTTGTTCCACTCCCCACCTGGTCCCCACCGCTGTCTTCCACCCCATCTCGCTCCGAACCCCCTTCCACCCGGTTCTTGTCTCCCTCCCTTTCGTCCGCCAAGGCGCTTCTCACCCTCCTCCACCGGCATGGCCTGGTGCCGCGCCGTCTCATCCTTCTGCCCGCCTCAAGGCCGGACCCCGCTGCCGCTGGTCGCAGATGGGCAGCTCTGCTACCGGTCATGGCCAGCGGCCCGATTCCGCCCGCACCGATCGGATGCATGTGCAAAATGTAGTTAACCAACAAGTTGGCAAGCAAACTGAATGAATTACTTTTCCAAGGTACACATCATGTCATTACCACCTGCAGCTCCCGATCTCGCTCCAAACCACCAGTTTCCGCCAGCCAAGGAGCTGAATTGGCCATTCTGCAGGGCGGTGTAGTTCACGTTCCACCACAACACGGCCAAACCTTTCCTTAAATGGCTACTCGCGTCCGGTTGGCGGTTTTGCGCTCTGAAATCACATGAATACGGCATGGCCACTTGGAAGATAGTGACCATAACGGGGGCTCTTTTGTTGGAGGGAAGGCCACCTTCCATGCATGAACACCATGGATGGTGGCTCCTTCATCTGGAGCATTGCTGCCGGGTTCCTTCCGGATCCACGTGGTAACAGAAAAAATCGACGAGCAATACCCTGCCCTAAAGCCTCATGCCATCCTAAAAGAGCAGGAACACAAAGTTAATCCAGTCTTGAATCTGTGTATGTTGGCTTGTTGCTGAAGGGGCTTGAAAGGTTGGATAGTTCCAAAATAAAAACCCGGTCTGTAGTTTCCTTAGAAGGAAAGAGCTGCCGTTATCACAAACCAAACCGTTATCACACATGGTCAAAAGAACCCGCAAGCTTGGGGTCTTAAAGCAATCTATCTTCGTTCATGTTCTATCACCACTCAGAAGCTCATGGTGCATTTTCTGGGAACCAAAACCACCAGGTCTGGGTCTCGAAAGCTCAGTTGGTCCATCCGGAACCGGCTCGCCAAAGGCTCTCGGGCTTGATGCTCAAGCCCCAGTCCGGAAAACGCGTCTCACCTCCTTCGCTCGGGGTTTGGAGAGCACGAGCAGCTAGCATCAACGCGCTGGCTGAGCACAAACGCGGTGACCGGGGGCGGTGTTTGGAGGAGAGTAACTCTAAAGACTGTGAGTAAAAGGAAAGTCATCTATATTCCAACGGAGGATGTGGCCCATGCCCTATGCCCTTTCAAATTTAACATCGGAGGCTTTCGACACTGAAAAAATACCAGATCCAGATCGAGCCGAACAAAACATTCAGATCGGTCCTGCGGGCACATCGTTCAAATACATGAAGAAGGTGCCGACACGGCCTCCTTAGGAGATGCGAGAAGTTAGCGGACAGAACGCGAACCCTCTGGTGGCGGACAGATTCCGCCGACAGATTCCCGTCGGACCCCCAAACGCTTGAACTGTTCCATGTCCAAAGGCACTTCAAATTCAAAGGGAACGTTCTCATAGTGAAGGACGGACTGCAAATGAAAGTATTTTTATGATTTTTATGGACCCTGAAGTTCGGGGCCTAAGTCAGATTCCGCCAGCCGCCGGATACTTTAGGTGGCTGATTCCGCCAGCCGCCGGATACTTTGGTGGCTGGCTGACTGATTCCGCCGGGTACTTTGGTGGCTGGCTGGCTGATTCCGCCGGCCACTTGGATAGGTGGCTGGCTGGCTGATTCTCCCAGATACTGTGATAGGTGGCTGGCTGATTCCGTCGGGACTTTGATAGGTGGCTGGCTTGCTGATTCCGCCAAGTACCCGGAACGCAGGGTCAATAAGTATTATATATAGAATTGTTCAATCGCATGAAATCGCTGCTTCACGAATCGGAGCCAGTTTTTGCCTGTTAGGTGAGAAAGGGGTGTACTTTACGTAGTTTGACGTCTCGTTCTTTTTGTAGACGCTCGATGCCAAAACATTTTTTGCCCCCAAACAAAGCAGTCCAACGAAGCAGTCCGGCTGGAAGAGATTGCCTGGCTGGCCTCGAGCTCCACTTCAGAAGAGCTCTTCTTCGCCCAAGTAGTTGCAACTGATTTACTGTTGTTTTTTGGTTCCGCACCTTTTTGTTTATCACGTCACTGGAGAACAAACATGAAAAGGACACCGGAAACAGAACATGAAGCATGTCACTTTGCATCAGTCCGTTTATTACATGTTCTTGCCCTTTGTCCATACCTGCTGATTGTCTTATCCTTCATTCATCACCTTTTGCTTTTCTTGAGTTCCTCAAGTAAGTTCTCTTGTTTTATGCTGCTTGCTCTGTGATTCAACACCTGTCCAGGTGCGAAACAAAAACACCTACAGTACTCACTAGAACAAGGTGGAGCCACTGGTGGAACCATATGGGATTCCCGATGTCGGTTGCCGAATCCCTCGTTGAGCTAAGTGGCCACAGGCTTGTTGTTCTTGCTCATCCAGGTAATCCTGTGGCTTTGTGGCAAACGTCGTCGAGCCGAGAGACGGCCCGAAAACGCAGAACGAACCCTCACCCCCCCCTCATCCAAGGCAGGCACTTGTGTGGCCAAGCCGGAAGTGAACAGAATCACACTCCGAGAATGTGCACCATCATGCACAATACTCAACAGTTTCAAAACCCACTTAGACTTCTTATCCCAAACACCTCTCACTGCATCCGGCTTCATGGATGTGAGAAGTACGCGCAGCTGCGCGCAGCGCGTTTCAGGTGGCTCCACCGGGCCAACCGGGCAACGGCTCCAAATGGCACCGGGGCACTTCGGGGGGGTTCTCCCACCGAACAAGACTCGGATGGCACGGGGTGACTTGGATGGACTCGGATGGCACGGATGCACTCGCCTGATGACTTTGGAAAGATTGTCCAGGTTGATAGCGCACGACCTGCAGGTTGAGTGGCAGATTTCTTCTTTTCGCCATGGGATAGTGATGGACAGTGCCTTGGCTGGATGGGAATGGTGGAAATTATGGGAGGCCAAAACCATGCCCAGGAGTGATCTGCTGCACCAGCTAGAGTGGGTAAAAACATCCGGGAAGAAAATGGAGCCATCTCAAAGTCCCTGTTCCTGACTCTCACCGTACCCTTCGCGGGGCAGAAGGGTGCTCTTCTTTTCATCGTTTCACCACTCACTTCCTCATCAAGTCATTTCTGGATCTTTTTCGAACATGCCAATGTTCCCCGGCCAGTGGCCCGATTCGAGTAGTAGTCTTGCCACTCAGCGACGGGAATTGTAAACCTATCCAACACTCTTCAAGGATCCTTTGGGGCAGTCCTGGTAATGTAGACAGTTGATTCAAAACACCTCCCTGACCAGAATTGCATTTTTGGCATTTTCATATCCATATTTGGGGGGGGTGATTCGGTTTGATCCCTCAACGATCCACCTGAACATAACCTCTCTACCCAGCTTCTTGACGTCCTCTCCCAAGGCGGCGCCTGAAACGGCTCCATATTCTCGTTGGGCAACCTGCCGTCCGCCGATCCGCGCCGGGGTGGCCTAGAAGGACTGCCTGGGGTTGGATGGATCAAAGTACTATTACTCCTTGGGCACAAATGAATGCATTAACATGTAATGTTTTATGATGTTTTATGTTTAATATTGTTTAATGTAATTTATCACAAGCATAACATAAGCATGGGCACTAACTTCTTGGATGGATCCCAACATATTACTCGCCTGCAGCTTAACATGGAACCTGAAAACCACTCGGTTGTAGAGGAAAATAGTCTTCCACCTTCCACGGTCAATTCTCAGGTTCCATGTTAGTTTGCGGGAGAGTATGAGGTATGGTCCCCGAATTCTCGTTTGCCAGGGCTTGCTTGCTTTTTGGGCATTCGTCTTCCGTATCACATCTGAATGTAACGATTCACGTTCAATCATCATAATATCTTGAAGGATCTTGAAGGTACTTCATAGGTGTCCATGTCATTCCATGTCCCATGTCTATTTTCGTGAGCTTGTGGCACAGCTGCTCAACGCTCGACACATGTTCCCCGCCTGGTGATCTGGGTAATGCGAGCGGTAATGTTCAAAAGCACCTCGTCCTCATTGTCCTGGCCAACCAGCAATCATGTGTCACCCTAATGTGGCCCTCAGATTTATAAACCCCCCTAGAATTATGTCTTTTTTTTTCCCTGCACTGATTTATAAAGGCCCCTAGAATAATGTCTTCTTTTTTTTTGGAGGGGTAGTTGTAGTGGATTTTTTTTTATTGTTATAGTTTACTTTTTCCCTTTTGAATTTGCTGGGATTTGCTTATCTTACAGGCTTTTGGATTGAGATTTCTATTAAACATTTGGAGATTTCCATTGAGATTTGATTCTTTTGGAGGCTTTTGGATGGAGATTTCTATTCAAAAAAAAATGAGATTTCCATTGAGATTTGATGCTTTTGGAGGCTTTTGGATCCCTTATTTAAAAGTATTAAAAAACAAAAAAAATCATTCAAGCAAAGGGGGTAGTCCAGCAAGCAGCTTTCTGACATTATTTAGGGGGGGCCCCTAGAATAATGTCTAGAGATTTGAGGCTTTAAATCTTTATTCCTTTTCTTTGCCTTTTGATTTGCTTTACTCACCCTCTATTCCTTATTTACTTTTCCTAAGCTCTTTAGTTGTAGATTTCCATTGAGGTTTGATGCTTTAGGAGGCTTTTGGATGGAGATTTCTATTAAAACTTTGTAGATTTCCATTGAGGTTTGATGCTTTTGGAGGCTTTTGGATGGAGATTTCTATTAGAAAAGTTGAGATTTCCATTGAGATTTGATGCTTTTGGATGCTTTTGGATGGAGATTTCTATTAAGAAATTTGAGATGTCCTTTTAATTTAATATTGCCAGAGGTCTTCAAACTTAGGAATTTTTATTTCCTTTTAATTTAATATTGCCAGAGGTCTTCAAAGTTAGGAATTCTTATTTCCTTTTAATTTAATATTGCGAGAGTAGCTCCAGAGGTAGCTAGCTAAGGATTCCTTATTTAATTATCAACTGATTGATTTTCATATACATTATTTTGGAGGCCTTGGTTGTTGAAGGGGGGGGGGGGGGGGGGGGGGGG